ACCATTATCAGAAAGACCTACCTACTTACTGAAATATGATTTAAAAACTGCCAACTATTTTACACCAATTATACACTGCCTAGAAGTAACTTATATCAATCAATTTATGTTGTCCCATGTTATGATAAATGTAATGAATCTTATGTATGTTTTAGAATTGATTTATATTATTAATAATCAAGTTAAAAGTGTAAATCAACAACATTGTCTATCAACATAATTACACAATGATCATTGATCTGATGTTGATTAAATGTATTGATATTACATAGATCAACCAACACTTTCAAATTTTCCTGATGTTTTTATTAAAAACAATTAATATTAGTAATAAAGGATAATGTTTGCAGTTATGTGGTCATAACTATAGTTGAAGAAGTTGCAGATTGTAGCATTAGGCGTCAAAATTTTTTGGGTTGCAACTTCTTAGTTGCAGAGCCATCTTTATTGATGGATGATCCATCCACCTATAAATTAGTGAATTTGTTACGAAAACACTAATCTTTACATCTCCAAAGTAGAATTTTTTTTTTTTTTCACAATACAAACAAAGAAAAAGATTATATATCAATAACCTTTGAGTTTTTTCTATCTGCAACTATGAAATATATCGATAATTTCACTGATTCATGCGTGTGAGGGATGTTAATGATCCGGACTGAACAGACCACGGACTGATCTTAAGTATCAAAGATCGTTTGGACCGTTATGAATTAGTAAATGTGTCACGGGATTTTTATTAAGTGAATGGATTAAATCGGAAATGATTTACTAATACAAATGGCGAAGTATAATTAATAACTGTATCAATGGTTATTTAATTAATGGAAAAGACATATCGGAAAATTATTTGTAATTAAATAATTCCTAGAAAACAATGCTGTTGGCTCTTGATAAAAAGTTCTTTGATTAATATATCTTTAATTAGAAATTATTATAGTTATTGAAAAAATTCTTTAGAAGAAGGACCTTTCTCTTTAGAATATTTAATTAAAAATCTATAATCATTTTGTAATTTCCAATGTAATAGAGGTCTTTACTATCAGTGATTATCATTTGGGACGAACGTGATGAGCCAAATTGTTAAATTGTTCCTGTTGTCTCGTCTCATCGCTTTGGGGAATTTTGAAGGAGGTGAACTATGCTTCCCCAACCCCAGATCATGGTGGCGCTTCGGCCAGATAAATCGTCGCATTTTCCTCATGTCTTCTACTCCATGGCAATTTTCTCGTTACTAGGGGAATCAGACACAGCGTTGTTTACTTCGTACATGGCATGTTTTTTCATTATTTCATTTCATGGAGGTATATTTATTGGAGATGATTCTGGCTTTGGTTATTGGTAATAAAGAGATAAAAAAATAGACGAATTTTATTTAACAACAGAAATGGCATGGTTGTATTTCTATTATGCTAGAAAATATTTGTCATTAACAAATTAGCAAGTCTTTAATCAAGATATTAAAGATCTAAAGAATAGATTGTGTTTCAATTCCATTTAGAAAAATTTCTCGTTGATGATTAGTTAATAAATTTACAAGTATAAATTTTCCGAATTAAAGATTATTTGCTTTAGAAGCGATATATTACAACATGGTAAATTGAAGGCCAATGTTAACCAGGCATTCGCTGGAGTTTTTTAACAATCAACTTTATTTTTAAAAAGAAGATAATTCCCATTTTTGAACTCTCAAATTTGGCGCAGAAAATTATAATGAATAATTATAATGAAACACCTATTTTAAAATCCAAAATTGTCAAAGATGAATTTTATCAAAAAAATTACAAGGAAATGTCTGCAATGGTAGACACCTTAAATGATAGATTAAGTTTGGCAGCAAATCAAGGTGGTAAAAAGGCAATTTCCCAACATCTTAAAAGAGGTCAATTATTAGTTCGTGATAGAATTGATTTATTGTTAGATGAAGATTCTCCCTTCTTGGAATTGTGCCCTTTAGCCGGTTGGGGTCAGGAGGATATGACACTGGGAGGATCAGTGGTGGCAGGCATTGGACTTGTATGTGGAGTAGAATGTTTGATAAGCGGAAACGTGCCAACCTTATTTGGTGGCTCATCGAATGAAATCAGCGTATTGAAAAGTTCACGAATTTCCACAATTTCTTTGGAAAACGGTTTACCATATATTCAATTAATACAAACAGGTGGTGCAAAATTGGATCAACAGTTTCGTGTTTTTCACCCAGGTGGTGCACAATTTAGATATTTGGCTGAGCGTACAAAAATTGGATTACCAACTTGTAGTATAGTGTTTGGTAGCTCGACAGCAGGTGGTGCCTATACACCAAGTCTGACTGATTATGTGATTATGGTAAAAAACCAGGCACAAGTATTTCTTGGTGGCCCACCCCTTGTTAAAATGGCAACAGGTGAGGTGGTTGATGCTGAAAGTTTAGGTGGTGCCGATATGCATAGTAGAAAATCCGGTGTGTCGGATCAACTTGCATTAGATGAATATGATGCTATTAAAAAAGCTCGTGAATTTGTTGGTAAACTAAATTGGACAAAACGTGGTTTAATACCATCAAGACATTTTTCATCAAAAATAGAACCACCTTTATATGATTTAGGTATTTTAATTATTATGAATAGATTATTATAAATTTTTTTGAAAAAAAAATTACTTATTAAATTTTCGTTTATTTACTTATTTATTTGAGCAAGATGAACTTTTGGGTATTGTATCATCAAATATTAAGATTCCTTTCGATGCAAATGAAGTAATTACACGTATTGTCGATGGATCAAGATTTACAAGTTTTAAATCACTTTATGGGCAAAATCTTATTACAGGGTGGGGTTATATTCATGGTAAAAATTACATAAAATAAGGCGCATTTTGCTTTTTTTTGGGTCTGATTATTCTCTGAAAAAGCTTTATTATTAAAATTATAAAACTAATCTTTATATTGTATATATATATTAATATAGGATTCCAGGTTGGTATCGTTGCAACAAATAATGTAATATTTATACAAGAAGCTAATAAAGCTACACAATTTATAAGACTTTGCAATTCAATGTAAAGTAGAATA